ACGAGGTGGAGGCAGCCACAAAATGGATGCCGCCCCTTCCCCTCAGTCACACAGTGCGGCGGTGGCAGCTGCCGCCAAAGCAGTGCTTGAAAGCATCGGCACAGCCAATCCAATCTCCAGCGGCCAATCCGAAGCCGCGCTGGGGCAGAGTCCCACCTGGCCCTGCCCACCTTCTAAAAACTCTTGGGGGGCATCGGGGAAAGTGTCCAAGGTCACCCTGGCCCCCGCGGGGGACCACGATGGCGACCCCTGCTGTATCCCTTTCAGGAAGACAGAAGTAGTTCATTTGAATCCTGGCGTGGCAGACATCGCTGTTTTTACATCCGTCTGCTGCCCCGAGGCAGTTGGTGTTACTGCTTGATCTTCCAGCAGCGCTGGAAATCAGCTCACTGCTGATGAAGAGAGAACGGCGCGCGCCGGGGGCCCTTTCAACAGCGCTTGTCCCCCGCACAAACGTGGACGTCCATGACGTGACAAGCATCAGCTGAAATAAAGTAAGAAACTGCGATAGGAAGAATAATAATAATAAGAGTTGCTGCGACGCCCCTGAAGGTGGGGGAGAATGCTGTCAGAACGCTAAAGGATGTTCCATTTGAAGTAAGACAACGCAGAAAGAAATACAAAGAACTTGTGCTTTTCCTCCAAACAAACTCAATTGGATATAAATGGCTGTTTCCAGAAGGAGTAATATTCAAGATCAAGGAGAAGAAGGTCAAGATTGACTCTGTTCTTAAAGCTCAAGAGTTTCTAAAGGAGCAGCTGGGAAGGCCAGAGGACGAGAAAAAAAGAAGAGGACGCTAAGTCCAGTGGAGAGCTGGGAACTGGTTCGTCTGGTGAGGACTCTTTGTCTGATCTGCTTGGGGAAGCCTTTTATTGCTGCCTTCGTAGGCCACGTTTTCTTTCCCTTTTTCGGAGGAGGGGGGGGGAAGGGGAAGATGACGGAGATCTACTAGAACGACCCCCTGATCTGCAAAAACGGACTATCTCTTGCCTCATGGCTCTCCTAAAATAAGACATGACTCTGGGGGACAAGGGAGCCGAGGCGGCGTCATCAGCGTTACCTCCGTGAGAAGAGCCTTCCGCTTCTCCGTCATGTTCCCGGGCAGCCTCTATTAGAGTACTCGCTGCTAGGTCGGACCCGCTCAGACACACAGTCTCGGGTCGCTCCCTGCCCTGTGCCGGGCTCCGTCGCTCAATGTTTTCCATCAAAATGGCTGCCGCCATGTTTGGAGACTCCTGGAGCGTGTGGGAGCTTTTGGCGCGCTTGGCCGCGCTATGCGCATCTGCCTGTCGATCGCTGCCGTCCAGGCCTCTTTTTCGCCCTGCGCGATCTTTTCTACTTTCCTCCCCATCGATTTCCCCAGAGGATAAAAAGCCATCAATGTCTCCCTTGCGTGCCATAGCCGCTGTTGGGAGAGGAGTCTCGCAGAAAGAAACAAAGTGACAGTTGAGGGTTTTTTTTTTGTGTGTGTGTGTGTGTTTTGCCCTCTTCTGGGCAGAGAGCAGGGGGTGGAGGGGGAGGTATTTGTGAATTCCCTGCATTGAGCAGGGGGTTGGACTAGATCACCCCGGAGGTCCCTTCCAACTCTAGGATTCTAGGAAGGTCACCCAACTGGCGGCATGTGGAGGAGTGGGGAATCAAACCCAGTTTAGAGTCCTGCTGCTCTTAACCACTGCGCCAAATTGGAGAGACCGCAGCAGCCTGTTATTTTTTTTTTAATGCTCAGAGTGCTTTAATAAATTAACAGCTTCTGAAACGGCCTTTCCTTTCTTACGACTCATGTAAGTGCCAGCTGCCATATGAATTATCCCACCTTTCTCCCCAAAGAGCTTGGAAATCGTCTAATTTTATCCTTCCCAGCAACCCTCCGAGGTAGGCTGAGTTGAACATGACGGATGAGCCCAGACCTGCCCAGTGAGCTTTATGGCCGGGCAACAGTTTATTTATTCACTTCATTCATGCCCTGCCTTTCTACCCAACGGTGACCCAAAGCAGCTTATGCCATTCTCCCTTTTATCCCCACGATAACCCTTTGTGGTCCATTAGGCTGAGAGGACGGAGTGGGGCTTCAGACCTGGCTCTCCAAGACACAGTCCATCATTCCGAATGCGACACTGTACTGACTCTTTGGTCTGATCTGAACACAATCTTAGGGTGCATTCACAGAAGCCTTGTGTCCAGATCACGGGAGGTGGTCGTTCCGCTCTATTCTGCTACGGTCAGGCCCCACCTGGAGTACCGTGTCCAGTTTTGGCTACCACATTTTAGGAAGGATGTTGACAAGCCCGAGCGTGTCCAGAAGAGGGCAACCAGGATGGCGAGAGGGTTGGAATCCAAGTCTTACGAGGAAAGAAGGGTTGATTTCTTTTAGGATGGACTGATTTGATCTTCTTGCAGTCCAAGGGACTCTCAAGAGTCTTCTCCAGCACCATAGTTCAAAGGATCCTATTCTTCGGCGCTACACTGTACTGACTCTTTAATCTGATCTGAACACAATCTTAGGATGCATTCACAGAAGTCTTGTGTCCAGATCACGGGAGATGGTCATTCCGCTCTATTCTGCTACGGTCAGGCCCCACCTGGAGTACCGCGTCCAGTTTTGGCTACCACATTTTAGGAAGGATGTTGACAAGCCCGAGCGTGTCCAGAAGAGGGCAACCAGGATGGCGAGAGGGTTGGAATCCAAGTCTTACGAGGAAAGACTGAGAGAGTTGGGTCTGTTTAGCCTGGGAAAGAGAAGGCTTAGAGGGGACAGGATTGCAGTCTTCAAGTATCTGAAGGGCTGTCATGTAGAAGATGGAGCGGATCTATTCTCTCTTGCTCCGGATGGCAAGATTACGTCTAATGGGTGGAAATTACAAGGGAGTTGTTACCGGCTAAATATCAGGAGAGACTTCCTAACTTTAAAGAGCGGTTGATCAGTGGAACAGACTGCCTCGGGAGGTGGTGGGTGCTCCTTCGCTGGACGTTTCCAAGCGGAGGCTGGACGACCCTCTTTCGGGTATGTTGTAGGGCTGTCTTTCGGCTGTGCTCCTGCAGAGTGCAGGGGGTTGGACTAGATGACCTGTGAGGTCCCTTCCGACTCTAACATTCTATGATTCTATGAACTCGGGTTGTCCGAATGCAAGTCCAGCGCTTCAGCTGCTGTGCCGACAGATTCTCTGGTCTTCATACAGGGGAGGAATTAAAAAAACACCCGCATCACAGCTTTGTTTTCCAAGGTTGTGCACGAGGAAGAATAATTCTTATAGCCCCATCAAACCTCAGTTCTCGTGCCGCAGCTGTTTGTTTGAGGCTCGTTCCAGCCTGGCTTGTTCTTCTCAGATGTGTTTGTTGGGTCGCCTGAAGGTGTCTCAGGAAAGGCACTTCCCATAATTACAAAGGAACATCCCTGCGGTTTGTGAGCGCAGAGCCAATACCTGCTGGGCAGTAAATGGATTTCTGTCCTCCCTCCCGAGCCGCATTTAACAAATTTGGTTCTTGTGCGCTGGTAATGCCTTCTAAGAATCCTTGGGCCTCCGAAGGAGGTGTAAATACGTTAGGAGGTTAGTGTGTGGGGGTGGGGGTGGTGTCCTTCGCTCCCCGGTTCCTTCCTTCCTGTGACAAATTCCTTGCTGAAATTGGATGAAGCACTTTTTTCTTTCTTTTTTGCTTTCAAATAGCTTCCGCACCTGTGAGGCTGAGGTCCACATTCTGACAGCTAACAAAAGAAGCCGGCTTTGCAGCTGACGTTCCAGTCCTAAGAAGTCAAAAGTCCAGAACAAAGTTTGAGTCCAGTGGCACCTTTAAGACCAACAGTAAACAATGGTGATATGATATCACAGTACAATATGATCATGAAACAAAAAATGCACTTGTATAAATAACGCAGACAGAAAAGCGCCCAAATAGTATACAAAAAGTAGTGAAAGACGTTTATATAACAAAGTGACACAATGCTAGCAAAGGAATAACAAGAGACTACATGTATCAGTAATTGCAAAAATACATAAATATCATACAAAAATACATAAAGTAATACAGAGAAGAAACTGGCACAGAAGACACAGGGACGAAGACTCCAGATTTCAATCTTCGTTTCGATAGCTCTTCTTCAATTACTTCATTATACTTCATAAAGCGCTCGTAGTATACAGAAACCTTCACAACAGTATATATACAGGGGTCATTTTGTAGAAAAAGAGGTGCAGGAGCTCATTAGCATAACTTATTTGCATAGGCCACACCCCCTGACATCGCCGGAAGTGTGTCAGAAGGCAACACCCACCCCTCAGGCTCCACTGGACTGTTTTGGATTGCTAGCTATTTGGGGGGGGGGATGCGCAGATCTGTCCTCGCAGAGGAGGGAGAGCTTGTACCTGAATAAAACTTGGTCTTAAAGGTTCCACTGGACTGTTTTGGACCAGGGGGCTGGGGGGGAGCTCTGTAACTTACCTGGCTGCTTCTTGCTCTGACTGAGGGCTGCTGGGAGCAGGGGTTGGGGCTTGTTGCATGTGCCCGCCCCCTGGGCTCTTTACTGCCGGAGCTCCGCTCCTGTGCACTCCTGCAGGAAATGACTCCCATGCTCAGGTTAGAATTGTGGTTTAAATCTGGGGCCTTTATACGAACCCACCAAAGGAGCTCCCGTTCTGCCACGGCCTCGCAGTGTTCCCTCTAAGCTGACTTGGTGTGAGCTAGCTCACAGTTTTTTGGCCTCCAGCTCACACATTTTTGGCTTAGCTCAGGAAGGATGGGGCCTCCAGAGCAAACCAATCTATGCAGTAGCCAAATCGCCTGCTCACAACTTTAAATGCCAGTAGCTCACAAAGTAGAATTTTTGCTCACAGGACTCCACAGCTTAGAGGGAGCACTGCCTGTGAGTCACGGCGCATAAATATTACACTATGCTCCATTTGTCATGCAAATTGCTTTGTCCAAACGGCCCGGCCTGCCTGTGAATATTAACCCAAGGCTTAATCTTTCAATTACAGTTTGCCTATTTTTTTAAAAAAAAAATTAGGAAATGAGAGCCGAAGCGATTGCCAGACCGCTGGAGATAAACGAGACGGAAAAGTTGATGAGAGTCGCTATCAAGGACATCTTGGTAAGTATTCAGCCCCAGCTCGGTATGGGCTTAGTGGGAAATCGATTATCTTATTCAATAGCCGTTAATTCCAAAAGTGCTTTTTTTTTACAACCCCCCACCACCACTTTCCTGCCTGGCCGTGGGTCAGGAGCTCTGGCGAGCATGTTCAGCGCAAAATGCCTCTTGCGTCTTTCCAGCAGAAATGCGCCTCTGGTTATAATGTTTGTGGGTTGGTTTGTTTTTTAAGAAAGGACATAAAGAGCCAGACCCGGGGGTGGGTGGGCGAGGGCTCTGAACCCTCCTCTGCCTGGGCCTCTTTGCTTCCCACTGTCCTTTTTTAATTTGTATTGGGAGAAAATGCAATTTGGCCACATGAAAGTAAGCCGGGGAACAGGTGCAGGATGACAATAGCCCTGTTTCTTTAGATGCTAAAACCAGACAAAAACACACACCCACACACTCCTCCCTCCCTCTCTCTCTCCAGGATTAAAGAAAGTGGTTACTGCGGCTGGGTCTGGTGTGTCCCCCACCAGCCAGTTTGGTGTTGTGGTTAAGTACGTGGATTCTAATCTGGGAGAACTGGGTTTGATTCCCCACTCCTCCACTTGCACCTGGCTGGATGACCTTGGGCAAGCCGTAGTTCTGATAAGAGCAGTCCTTGAAAAAGAGCAGTTTCTGTCAGAGCTCTCTCGGCCCCACCTACCTCACAGGGTGTCTGTTGTGGGGAGGGGAAGGGGAAGGAGTTTGTAAGCCGCTCTGAGACACCTTTGGGTAGTGAAGGGCGGGGCATAAATCCAATCTCTTCTTCTTAACTTATTGTAATTTTATTGAGAGCCAGTTTGGTGTGATGGTTAAGTGCGCGGACTCTAATCTGGGAGGACCGGGTTTGATTCCCCAACTCCTCCTCCACTCGCACCTGGCTGGATGACCTTGGGCAAGCCGTAGTTCTGATAAGAGCTGTCCTTGAAAAAGAGCAGTTTCTCTCAAGAGCTCTCTCATCCCCGACTGCCTCACAGGGTGTCTGTCTGTTGTGGGGAAGGGAAGGGAAAGGAGTTTGGAAGCCGCTCTGGGACTCCTTTGGGTAGTGAAGGGCGGGGTAGAAATCCAATCTCTTCTTCTTAACGTATTGTAATTTTATTGAGAGCCAGTTTGGTGTCGCGGTTAAGTGCGCGGACTCTAATCTGGGAGAACCGGGTTTGATTCCCCCCTCCTCCACTTGCGCCTGGCTGGATGACCTTGGGCAAGCCCTAGTT